CTCAATTTCGTCTCTTTTTATGGCTGAGTAATATTCCATTGTATATATGTGCCACATCTTCTTTATCCATTCATCCGATGATGGACACTTAGGTTGTTTCCATCTCTGGGCTATTGTAAATAGAGCTGCAATGAACATTTTGGTACATGACTCTTTTTGAATTATGGTTTTCTCAGGGTATATGCCCAGTAGTGGGATTGCTGGGTCATATGGTAGTTCTATTTGTAGCTTTTTAAGGAACCTCCATACTGTTCTCCATAGTGGCTGTATCAATTTACATTCCCACCAACAGTGTAAGAGGGTTCCCTTTTCTCCACACCCTCTCCAGCATTTATTGTTTCTAGATTTTTTGATGATAGCCATTCTGACTGGTGTGAGATGATATCTCATTGTAGTTTTGATTTGCATTTCTCTCATGATTAGTGATGTTGAGCATTCTCTCATGTGTTTGTTGGCACTCTGTATATCTTCTTTGGAGAAATGTCTATTTAGGTCTTCTGCCCATTTTTGGATTGGGTTGTTTGTTTTTTTGTTATTAAGCTGCATGAGCTGCTTATAAATTTTGGAGATCAATCCTTTGTCAGTTGCTTCATTTGCAAATATTTTCTCCCATTCTGAGGGTTGTCTTTTGGTCTTCTTTATGGTTTCCTTTGCTGCGCAAAAGCTTTTAAGTTTCATTAGGTCCCATTTGTTTACTCTTGTTTTTATTTCCATTACTCTAGGAGGTGGGTCAGAAAGAATCTTGCTGTGATTTATGTCATAGAGTGTTCTGCCTATGTTTTCCTCTAAGAGTTTGATAGTTTCTGGCCTTACATTTAGGTCTTTAATCCATTTTGAGCTTATTTTTGTGTATGGTGTTAGGGAGTGATCTAACTTCATACTTTTACATGTAGCTGTCCAGTTTTCCCAGCACCACTTATTGAATAGGCTGTCCTTTCTCCACGGTACATTTCTGCCTCCTTTGTCAAAGATAAGGTGACCATATGTGCGTGGGTTTATCTCTGGGCTTTCTATCCTGTTCCATTGATCTATCTTTCTGGTTTTGTGCCAGTACCATACTGTTTTGATAACTGTAGCTTTGTAGTATAGTCTGAAGTCTGGGAGCCTGATTCCTCCAGTTCCTTCTTTCGTTCTCAAGATTGCTTTGGCTATTCGGGGTCTTTTGTGTTTCCATACAAATTGCAAAATTTTTTGTTCTAGTTCTGTGAAAAATGCCAGTGGTAGTTTGATAGGGATTGCATTGAATCTATAGATTGCTTTCGGTAGTAGAGTCATTTTCACAATGTTGATTCTTCCAATCCAAGAACATGGTATATCTCTCCATCTATTTGTATCATCTTTAATTTCTTTCATCAGTGTCTTATAATTTTCTGCATACAGATCTTTTGTCTCCTTAGGTAGGTTTATTCCTAGATATTTTATTCTTTTTGTTGCAATGGTAAATGGGAGTGTTTTCTTGATTTCACTTTCAGATTTTTCATCATTAGTATATAGGAATGCCAGAGATTTCTGTGCATTAATTTTGTATCCTGCCACTTTACCAAATTCATTGATTAGCTGTAGTAGTTTTCTGGTAGCATCTTTAGGGTTCTCTATGTATAGGATCATGTCATCTGCAAACAGTGACAGCTTTACTTCTTCTTTTCCGATTTGGATTCCTTTTATTTCCTTTTCTTCTCTGATTGCTGTGGCTAAAACTTCCAAAACTATGTTGAATAAGAGTGGTGAGAGTGGGCAACCTTGTCTTGTTCCTGATCTTAGTGGAAATGCTTTCAGTTTTTCGCTATTGAGGATGATGTTTGCTGTGGGCTTGTCATATATGGCCTTTATTATGTTGAGGAAAGTTCCCTCTATGCCTACTTTCTGCAGGGTTTTTATCATAAATGGGTGTTGAATTTTGTCAAAAGCTTTCTCTGCATCTATTGAGATGATCATATGGTTTTTCTCCTTCAGTTTGTTAATGTGGTTTATCACATTGATAGATTTGCGTATATTGAAGAATCCTTGCATTCCTGGAATAAACCCCACTTGATCATGGTGTATGATCCTTTTAATGTGCTGTTGGATTCTATTTGCTAGTATTTTGTTGAGGATTTTTGCATCTATGTTCATCAGTGATATTGGCCTGTAGTTTTCTTTCTTTGTGACATCCTTGTCTGGTTTTGGTATCAAGGTGATGGTGGCCTCGTAGAAGGAGTTTGGGAGTGTTCCTCCCTCTGCTATATTTTGGAAGAGTTTGAGAAGGATAGGTGTTAGCTCTTCTCTAAATGTTTGATAGAATTCGCCTGTGAAGCCATCTGGTCCTGGGCTTTTCTTTGTTGGAAGATTTTTAATCACAGTTTCAATTTCAGTGCTTGTGATTGGTCTGTTCATATTTTCTATTTCTTCCTGATTCAGTCTTGGCAGGTTGTGCATTTCTAAGAATTTGTCCATTTCTTCCAGATTGTCCATTTTATTGGCATAGAGTTGCTTGTAGTAGTCTCTCATGATCTCTTTTATTTCTGCAGTGTCAGTTGTTACCTCTCCTTTTTCATTTCTAATTCTATTGATTTAAGACATAATTTTAAATGAAAAAAAATACAGTGATAGACGAAGAGAAGGGAGATAAAAGGGGACAAAAGTTTACTGTGCAGGCACTTTTAAATCTTTACTTAATTCTCACAACAGTCCTACAAGGTATGTGTTCTCCACATTTTACAGAGAAAGAAACCGAGCCTTGGAGAGCTTAAGTAACTTGTTCACAGACACCCAAATGGCCAGCAGCAGAGCCAAGATTCACACCTGGGCCTGCCTGTGTCCAAACGTTGTGCTTCCCCTACTACTGCATAGATGTGAGAGACTGAACTTTAAATACAAGCTGAACTAATAATGAGGAAGTAAATGAAACTTTTAAACATGTCATATTATAGGCAGCAGTGGGCAGCAGGAGGACCCTTGAGCTAGGAGATGGTTTCTCTCAGGTTCCACTTTTAAACATGTATTTAAACTACATTCCCTCCAAACAAGTTATCCAAGACACAGGGCAGTTCAGCATCCAGGGAAACGGGAACATCCATGTGTTTTTTGTGGTGCCATAAATTGAAGAGCCACTTGACAATGCAACTCAAGCAACAGCTCCTACTCCTAAGACAATGCAACTCCTAAGACAATGCTACTCAAGCAACAGATCCTACTCCTAAGACAATGCAACTCAAGCAACAGATCCTACCCCTAAGAATTAATCTCCAGGAAAAAAAATTCCAAAAGAAGAATAAACTAACTGCTTAAAGTTTTCCATAGCAATACTATTTTAAAAGAATTTAGGAGGAAAAAAAAAACTTGTATTAAATAGCAGTGAAATATTTAAGTAAATAAACAATTGTCTATAAATATAATGGAGAATGATCACCCTTTAAATTGGTAACTATGATGACTATGGAAAAACACGGAAGAATATTTTTTAAATGGTATTAAGTAAAAGAGCACAACGTAAAGTTATACAGAGATACAATCAGTAACATGAAAAACTTTATAGAGATAAAAACTAGGTGGGAATGCAAATAAATGAAAATAGTTTTGCTGGGTGATTGAAGTGATGAATGAATGAGAAAGGGGGAGAGAGGGAGGGAGGAAGGACAATTTAATAACAAAGTTTTAATTTTTAAAAGAAATCGCCTATCCAAAGGAGAAAATGAAGAGCTAGGGAAGTTTGGTCAGGCTGGGAAATGGTGACTGTGGTGTGTGGAATCCAGAACCCGCCTGGAGGAGGTAGTCTTATCATACCATCCCCACACATCCCACACACCACAAGGCTGATCTGGCTACTTTTCACACCTACAACTCTTCTTCCTGTGCACATCAGAGACATACAATTCACCTTGGCCAACAGTAGGAGGGGAAAAAAGTACACGTTCCCACAGACCTCAGCACCACACCATCCCACTTAGTGAAGTACAAAGAGTGGAGTTCCAGGTGGAAAGTAAACCTAAAAATTAATAGACATCATCACCCCAGGCAAAACTGCATCCAGCCCACCACTCCTTGGAGTGATGAGAGAGGGGAGTAGACAGGAGAGGATGGCCATGTCTGAACAGGGGAGGGAGGATGAAGAAGGTGCTGGGGTGCTGGGCCTGGCAGGATTCCGGGCCCCACTAATGCTGTGAAATCAGGAGAGGGCTCTGGAGTGGGAGCTGGCTTGTGGGAGGAGAGACCAGGTCTTGGGATCGATAACTAGACAAGCAGCTGAATCACCTAAGGGAGAGATTACTGACTACCTGAGGGGAGTGTGGGAGGGCATAAACAGGAGCCCTCCAGCCAGCCGTCAGTCAGATAAGGCAAGGTGGAGAGCCTGCCATCTTCCTCATGCTGGGAGATGCAGGGGCTGCCCCCCAAAACTGGAGTCTGTAGCAGGCTGGTGAGGACACCAAGGTGTGGCCACCTTCCCTCGGCCCAGCCTCTTATGGGGCTGAAGAAGGGCCTGAATGACTTAAGAGAAGACACTCTACATCTTTATCCCATACCACCAAAAAGGTTGTTTCTGGTAGAAGGAGTGGTTTTTGCACTTAATATATTTTCTCAACCCATTCCCTAGCCCTTAGAAAAAGCAAATAAATTCAACTCCATCTGGTGATGAAAGGAACAAATTCATTAAAGTGTTTGGGACTCAGAGATGTTCACGTCTGTTTTGATCCCCCAAGGTCAAAGCTGGAAGAGAAGTCTACTCATGGGACTTTAGGCCCAGACACCACAAACCCACCCTCACCTCCAGGAGCTCTCAGGAGATAACCATGCTGAGGGCGCAGGAAGATCTTAGGGCTGTAGCCCAGAAGAGAATAAATGGAGACATAAAATCGGTGCCTTGAGGCCCCTTCAGACATACCTTTACTAGCTCAAGTCTATGAGGAGCTGCCCTGTAGAGGAGGTTTAAAAAAAAAAGAGCAAGAATTAGGAATTACAATGACAAATTCAACAAAAGTCACTACCATGCTGCTGGCATCTGATCTCACGCCTTTCTTTTTCAGGTTAGACAAATAACCAGGAGAGAGGGCAATGCTTCTTGGTGTCATAGCCCACGCGCCTGTGTCAGGGTGAATGACCCACAGCTCTCCTCTGCTGCCGCCTTCCCCCAAGTGAGCACCGGCTGCCCGGACCGCTAGCGCTTCTCAACGTAAGCATTTGATTGAACTGCTGACAATCCCATCTCCTTTCACTGCTGCACAGCAAAACCTATTGCTAAGAATACTTCTAGAAGCTAAAGGAAACTAAGTTCCAGAAAGTGGCTTTTCAGAAAAAGGGATGATATAATCAAGTTCACTAAAGGAAGATCTGCCTGCATCCTGTCCACTCTGCCATGAGGTGCAAGATGAAGTGAAGGAGAGAGACTCAGAGCCCTGGAGGTACAAGAAATACATTTTTTCCAAAAGAACCACAGCCTACTCTGTATTAACCACATAAAAGGGAGATAAAGGTGATTCAAAAGGCAGAGGATTCTTTAAAAAACCATTTGAATTTGTTTTAGAGCCAAGTTTCTTAAACCTTAGTGGGTCATGGAGCCCTTTGAACATGTAATTAAAGCTATGGACCCGCTGCCCCGAAAAATGTATCCACTCTTCAAATTTTGTGTACAATTTTGGGTTGGGAGTTCATGGACCCTCTGGGGCTTCTGTGGATCCCAAGTATAGAACCACTGCTTTCATCAAGGTTCCCTGTGATCTGTCATTTGGCCTCCTTCCAGCTCAGTACTGCTGAGAGCAAGCTGAGACTTCCGGGCAGGAGACAGAGGAAGGTACAGCTGACCCCAAGTCAGGAAATCTGGGATAACTGAGGGCAAGAGCGGATTCACTCAGAGGGCAGACGTGACTGTGTGATTCACATGACCCTTTAAATAAAAATGCATTGTAACACCGTGCCCAGGTTTACACAATCAGAACAATGTTAAGCAATGTTGAAAAATGTTGATTTCACAGGAAATCTCTGTAAATGTGACTCTGAAACATACACCTCAAGAAAGCCCCTTGAGCAAAGGCAAGTCTTGAGAAGGCCATCTTCTGACACAAAAAGACAGTGAGTAAAAGAGACAGAGGGAGGGGAGCCGAGGGGCAGATTCCAGACCTTGTCACTGAGTTTGAAGTGTCCTCCCAGAGACAGAGCGAGGTCTGCGGGTCTCTGAGGCACACCGCCCCTCCCCCATGCTGAGACCCGCAGTCACAGCCAATACTCATCACCCACCATAATGACACAGGCCCACAGAGGGACTGGCAGTGCACCAAAGGACAGCCAGCCTCCTGGGAGGTGCTCTTGGTTACCAAGCAAGGTTGGGACCACAGAGAGCAGGCTGAGGCATCAGTATTCCAGACTAGAATTAGTCAGGTGGCCCCCAGTAGCCGTGATCAGAATTCCAGGTGGTCTCTCCTAGGGAATCCATACTTTTGATTAATAGGATTCATGCCAAATAAATGAATCTCCATGTGGTTCTGTGAGAAGACCACTGATGTGGAAACTGCTCTTCCTCTTCTCCATACCTCATGCCTACTCCCTACCCAGTCGTCCATGGATTTGATCCATCATTTCCGACACTCTTGGGGAGTAAAGGAACCATTGCCTTCTTTGAAATCAGTATCCAAATTTTGGAAGTTAGTTTCCCTTTCAGTTAAGGATCCACATTATTCTACATATAGAATATATAGATTTTTTTAAAAGTGAAGCCTATTGCCAGAACACCCTCAAATTTCAACAAAGGGAAAAAAATATGTGAAGGGATGCGTACAGACCTAAAAACTGAGCTCTGCCTTACATTCCCCCACAGGGCTGAAATACTCTTTCACTCTGTAAAAAAAAAAAACATCCAAGCAAAGGCAACTGACTTGTGTTCTGCACTGCCATGAAGATAAACAATAATTGGGTTGCCATCATGGAGGGCTGCTTCGTAGCAGCTACGGCCCTTCCCCTTAGCATCCTCCCCGCACCGGCAGCTAGAAACTGTATGCCTGAAAAGCAAGGAAAGGTTTCAGCCAACATGGACAGAGAGAAGACTTCTCTATCCTTGCCGAAGTCTGAAACCTCCTTATGTCAATCAGATACATATTTATATTTATATGTTTATATACTATTAGAATATATAATGGATTATTATACGTAAATAGTCAATATATTTACATACAGATATGTATCTGCTTAATACATATGCACATGGTAAAAATTAAAATATAATGCCACAAACGTCTTATAATGAAAACCACTACTGCCTTACCCCCCCTCTCCCATGCCGAGATAACCCCTTTTAACCATTTACTGTTTTAGTTCTTCTGACTCCTATACCAATCATGCTTCCAAGACTGCAATTCTTAGGTGTGGTTTGTTGAAATGCAATCCACTGGGTGGAAACAAGTAAAAGATAATAGATGTCTGCCACCTGCTCTCGGTTTGGCTGAAGAAACAAATTGGAAACAAAGGGAAACCAGTTTAGGTAGGAGAAAAGAACTTGAACATGAAATTAAGCTATTCTACTCAAGAAACCCAGTGACCTTGTGATTTTAAACACCTGAGTGAGCTCCAGTTCCTCCACCTTGTTAAACCAATGAATGAACCCTGCTAACACGAACACTGCCATATGACATGTCACCAGGAGACCTGGAGAACTGGCCATGTGATGATAAATCTTCAGTCCCTCAATCTTTTTTTTTTTTTTTTTTTTTTTTTGTCACACGGCGTGCAGCATGTGAGATCTTAGTTCCCCAACCAGGGATCAAACCCATGCCCCCTGCAGTGGAAGTGCAGAGTCCTAACCACCAGACCACGAGGGAAGTCCCAGTCTCTCAATCATTTAGAGGCAAAAAGTCTGACATCAAACCCCAAGGCCTCTGTACTGCGAAGACGGGCATTGCTGCCAGCTAGATAAGCTAGTCACGAGGACAGCTGACTCACCAAACAAGGACTGATGGGGCAAGAGTAAAGAAGAAAGATGTTTTCAAATTCCAACACTATTAGTGGGACTGTACCCTGCAAATTAGGAAGAAGTTATGTGAACCCATCCATATTGGCCCCTAAACATTCTGTGATCACATGTTTAAACTCAGGGAGATGAAATATAAAACAGGGCACAGGAAAACTGGCAACCACGAACAAGTAGGTGAACCAAACAAGAAAATATTGAGATCAGCAGAGCAAAACAGACAGTAGGATGCTCACGGCCTTGATAGACAAGTATTTATGGAGTGCCCTCTGCCAAGCACTGTGCTGAGCAATGGAAACCCACCAACAAAGTCCCCCACCTATGAAGTTACTGTCTCATAAGGAAGACAAACATTCATCAGATAATCACACAAGCACTTATTCAATTACAGTGGGGATAAACGCAGTAAAGGACAAGCACAGGTTGCACTAACATATGCCGAAAATGGGGGCGGTGAGGAAAGGGTTTCCTGAAAATTACCGTTTAAAATGAGACCCAAGAGATGGGTAAGCAGTTAGGCAAAAGGAGGGAACAGAGGGAGCAGAGAGAGAAAGAAATGCAGACAGAGCATGGCTTCTATACACGGAGGCCAGTGGGTCTGGAGCAGGGTGGGAAGGGGGTGAGGCATAAGGCAGGGAAGAAGACAGACCCAAGGCACCTGAAAGACTCCAAACTCCAACGTAAGATTCCTGAAAAGCAAATGCAAGCAAGTCAAGCATCAATATAAAGGGAAGCTGTGTGGAACAGCTTCCTCCAAGGAACACCGACCTCTCCCCAGGCAAGTAACACAGCACTGCTCACCTCTGCCCTTGTGACCTGAAAGCCACACCCACCAAGCACCCCAGGGTCCAATCAGTGCACTCACCATGTTCCCAGAATCACCCTAGGTTCACCTTTGATGTAGAAGCTCACTGTGTGAGGAATCTTTAACTCCGGTTTCTTTAAATCCACAAGAAATGGTGCTTTGACTGGAAAGGAGAATTCATTGTCAACTCCCAGAATCGAATTCCACGTCTCTTAATCACAATCAAAAAAAGTAATTAGCCTCATGATTGACATGTTTCTAAGCTGCAAGCTACTACACTCAATTCCAAGCAAAGTATTTTTACTTTATAAACTAGGACTACCCCGCAAAAGAGTTGCCCCCCCAAAAAAAACTAAAGCTAGACTTAAAAATACCACCAGTGTTATATATAGCCTCTAATGGAGTTTATTCAATCTTCATCCCCGTTTCAAGCGAAAAGCAAAGGAGACCATTCACCTAAAAAGTAAGAGGGTCTAGAAGAAGGTAGTGAGTATTTTGCTACTTAAGTCATGAGTTACTTTTTGCACTAAGTAAAACCTAGTCATTAGCCATAAGCCACTAAATGTCCAAGATAAACATACACCTGGAGACATGCAGGTGAGAGCATCACCTGTGCTCTAGAAGAACTGTGTGTCGCACTGACTAACGCAGCACTTGGTAGAAAAAACACGAGAAAATAGATTTCTCACATCAACCTCTCTCTCTCTCAAGGGATACAGGCAAGAAGAGGAAGAGAAAAGGCACAGAATACAGGAAGCAGTAAGGTATACAGATTAATAGCCAATTTGAAGACTGAGCTCCTGAATTGAAACCCTACCCACAAGGCCATATTTTTCTATCTATCCCAACAGTTTGCAAGGATTCATCCTAGACCCCAAAGCCAATATTAAATAGGTTTCAGACCATTTAAGTCTAGCCACAATTTTATAACTGACATATCTTTTTCATTATGCCATAACTGTAAGGGCAGTAAGTTCTCTATTTGGGAAAAAAATATATAAAGGCAAATTCACAAAAGGTACATACTCACAAAAGTTGAAAAAAATGACCATGTGCATCAGAGGAGGGAAAATATGTTCGTTTAATGATTTAGTTGTAAAGCTGTCACACAGAGTGGCAATTTTTCTTCTGAGGGTTGAACAGGAGTATGGGAAAGATGTGTAAGATACTGTGAAGCAAACAAGGTATTCAAAATCAGTCCAAGTGTTGTCTCGGTTTGTTTCTCCTTTTAACCTCCAAATCGAATTTCACAGACCGACACTGGGAATTACAGGCAGGTTGGCATTTAAGCAAAATCCTTTACAGAACTGTATGTAATTAGGGCAGATCCAGATCTGGCACGAAGGGAGAACCAGGAGAGGAAAGCAATAAGTCAGGGCCCCTACCAGCTGCTCAGAAAGCCCAGGTGTGACAGGACAGGAGGGGAGGGGACACGGATGTACTCGCGTCAGACTTGTTTCCTCAGTGTACCAGGAAACAGGATTCAGACTGTTTTAACAGTTGCCACAGTTTTCAGTCACATCACAGTTCAGTGCTGTATGTGCCAGCTAGTATTAGTATTAGTCTAAAGCAGTGAATGAATAATCGTCAGATTCCCACCGCCCCTTCTGGCTGGGTCTTGGGAAGCAATGAGACAAAACCCTCACATCTGAGGTGACATCCCTGCTGGGCGGGGCTGTGAGGAGCAGCGTGGGGTGCAGGGGGGGACCTGGAGGCTGGACGCAGCAGGGAATGGGACACGGGGGGCCATGCACATCTTGTTCATTCTACTGCCCCCTGTGACACGAACCATCCAAACTGGGGACCACCAGCAGACAAGTTATGGTTTGTCCATGAGGGCTCACTCAGGCTACCTCTGTCTCTAGCCATATCTCCCGTGAGGACTGTCTCCTACCTTTGAGAAACGAGGGTCACCATCTACTACTCCCAGTTTTTGTCCACATCGTCCATGACAAGAGTCCCTTTCCCTACTGTGAACAGTCAGTGTGATCAAATCGTGAGGCTGTAGGGGATGGAAAGCATTTCTGATGCACTGTCTCCCCTGCCCTGATTCCTCTGCTAGACCAGAGGCATCTTAGAAGACAACTGTTATTACCTCTGCTTTGCAGATGAGGAGGATGAAAAGTTAAGGACCCTTCCCAAGGTCACACAG